TGCCAATGGAAAGTGTCTCGGCATTTCTTCTTCTCCTCGTGGACATTGCCGCTCTAGTCCTCGGTACACGCGGGAATCTTACAGAGGAAGTAAGTACATCATGCCTTGCCCTTTGCCTTCTAGTTGTGGCATCGGTGGGGGCCGCTTATTACATGTGGTTACAGACATATGTCACGATGCTTGATTTGGTTTTCTCTGCCATACTCCTTGGCCTTAACATATTGGCGGCGTTGGCAGGGGTCTACGTGGTACAAGGCGTCGTGCGGGCGAAACGCGGTCCGCGGCAGAGATTTGCACCACCACCACAGGGCCTGCCGATTCCTCTGCGGAATAACATGAAGCGGCAGAAGGGGGACTAGGGCGCTGCTGTATGGAACAGCGCCGTGGCTCGGGCACTGGTGAAATGACATGAAAGAGCATCTCGTCTTATGTGTAGCTACCAAACTTTATTTTACTTTTACTGAAGACTAAAATTCTCTTCTTGCTCTGGTTCATTCCCCACAAAACAAGGACGCACGAGAGACGGTAGCGACTGCCTCACCACTGTGTGTGGGCAGAGAGCAAAGGAGTCGGGGTGAAGTGTTAAGCACTGGTTGGGCAAACCGAATCTACTTCGCCGACAACAGAAATAAGGATAAAAAACTAAAAGAGAAAGAGAAAGAGGGAAAAACCATAACGACAGCAACGACAGGAACTACATCGGGGTGGGAAGCATGCGCAGAACCTTCTCTTGTTGGGCTTCACTTGCATGGCGAATGCATTCGGAGCTCCTTCAAGGTTGGATTGCTGGTGCCTCCAGTGAGCCGCGGAAGCTACAGCAGGCACGCTCCTACCTATACGATTTGAAGCTAGAGGAGGCCATTGAAGGGGTTGACGATGCGACGGACCTTGTGCATTTCATGCACCGCGTCTCCTACCCAGCGGGAAGTCATCTGGAGACAAAAGTGGGGGAGTTTCTGTCGGAGTTGTCCGAGCAGGTGACACGCGGGCATTTGTTGGAAATCGGCAAGCGACTCAGTGAGTATCCCAACTCCGCCCCGCTGTGGTCGCGTGTCATGTTTGAGCAGCCTTGGTTTGCTGATCGTGTTGCGGAATTCTTCGAGGGGTTTACTCTGGAGGAGCACCTGAAGTTTTGTGCTGTCTTTTGGCGTTGTTTCCTTTTTGCCCCTCAGTCACGCGACTCTCAGCGTGCAGCGCGGGGGTCTGCTGTGGTCGTGTCACAACAGCTTGCGCTGCTAGCGGCGCAGCGCATCGAACGAGGCAACGATGGTGGGGCGGTGTGCCTGTGCGCGCAGTTGGGGGTTCCGCTTCAAGAGGAAAGTCTTGCAGTGCTTCGGGAGCTCATCCTTTCCCGTGTGCGCAATGGTACTCTTGACCCTGAGCAGCTAACCACTGTGGCAAAGGCCCTTGTGGCACACCACTCGACAGACACAGAGTGGCTAGGCGCCCTGCAAGTGGCACTTTGTGAGAAGCCACCCGGTAACGTCATGGCATCGCAGGCCGTCGCTCTGCTTTGTGCAATGACGAGTATGCGAGCTGGTCCACCCAGTACCATGTTTGAGGAGCTACTGCTGCGCGTTTTGCCTGATATGTTGCCAGAGGAAGTTCTGGAATGTTGTGGGTGCCTTGCTGCCCTGCCGAGTGCGGCGCCTCGTCTGCGAGAAGAAATAAAGAAGCATCTTGTCTCTGCAAACTCGTTGCGCAATAGTAAATTTGATGACCGTCAGGAGGTGTTTTTGCGACAGCTTCGTGGTATGTCACTTATTGCACCAACAGAGGCGAGGGCCTTGCTTCTACAGTTTGTGGACCGGCTGGAAGACGCGGAAGAGATTCTTTCACCATCCACCACACAAATTTTTGTGCGGTGCATGCGAGATTTGAAAGTATTTCCTCCAGAACTTGTATCGTACTGCAAAAAATCCTTCCTTCAAAATATGTCATTCACATTTACTCAAGAAGATAGTGCCTATCTGTTGTACGCTGCGGCTCATGCAGGGGAGCCTGTCGACGGCGTTTTCTTCAAGGAATTATTGAATCGTTTTGCCGCCACGCGTAAGTTTGATCGTCGCAAGCATAAAATGCATCATGCGAACCTTCTCTCTATTCCCATTGTGATAATGGTTTTGGAGTCGTTTAGTGTTGCGAGAGGGGGCAAACTTTCAGTGGAGTCAAAGGTGTATGCCATGTTGCGTGACGCGATAGAGCAGCAGCAGCAGAGTACGGAAGGGATAAACATGGACGACGCCATTCACATTTTAAATTTGGTCGTGCAACTTGGTGTAGATGACGGATCTTTAACGACGCTTTTACTGACTCGCCTTTCAAAGTCCATCGGCGCCATGACACCCACTCATGTCAAGTCTCTCTGTGAAGCGTTAGTGGCGCTGAAGTCTCGTGACGTCCTTATGTTTCGTGCGCTTCTCTCTCACTTGTCGCAAATTCTGCCGTGCCGCGATGGCATCACCTCAACCGCATTAACCGCACGGAAATTAAAGTTTGTCCCCTATTTTCAGCAGTCTGCGCTGGCAGAACACGTCACCTCGCTTGAAGGCTGGAGCTTGTCGGACGTCGTGTTGGTAGCGTGTGCATGCAGCGAGAAGCAGCGTAAAGCCCTACTGGCTCTACCAGGAGCAGAACTGCTATCCCGTGCACGTCCAGAAGAATTGAAAACGCTTGATTTGTTTCTACTCCTTTCCATTGCAAGCGAAGGGAAGGACAAGACAGCAGTGATGGCGGCCACGCTGCGGACGCGCCCTCCACTTTTGGCGGAAGACTTGGAAGTGGAAGATGTATGGCGAGCCTTTGTGAAGGTTGCGGAGGACAAGGATGCAATCGCGGCGGTTTGCCACTCCAGTGCAGCCACAATGCAAACTTTAGATGAGAACATGTTAATGCGCATTCTTGAGGCGGCCTCAAACGCACCGGACCTTCCTAACGTTTTTTTTAGAGTAGTAGGAAAAAATGTTTTACGTCTCGCCAACAACATGGCCGTTGAGAATGCGTCGCGGTGGCTACAGCTATACGTTAATTACGGGATTCGAGATGACAGCGTGGGTAAGGCGCTTCTATCCAAGGTGCGAACACGCAGCAGCAACGCTGCATTTCTTGTTGATAAGACGCTCCAAAAGGCATCCACTATGTACGGAAAAAACTACACAGCACAACGTAAGTTAAGGAAGAACAAAGATAAGGTTGAGTGGTATTCTTTCCGCTCTACCTAATCATCTCTGTGGTAGCTAGTGGTGTGTCACCACTTTTATTGCTATTATCAATACCACTTTGTCAGTTACCGCCACCGCCATTGCAGCACGAGTTGTACACGAAACATTTGGATCTAAGTATACACGAACGACAGTGTCACCTCCGGTGACATGTCATGTGTGGGATATTTCCAGTTTCTTTATTTGTTTTTCTGCTCGTTCTTTTCTTGTTTTTTTTTTGATTGTTTCTTACACACATTTTTTCTATCTTTTTCCCCCTACGTACACCTTCTTGTTTTTGCCTTTTGTGTGATGTCTTGGCTGTTTGGCATCTCCTTTCTTCGGGGGGAGGGGGAGGGAGGGAGAGGGGTGAGAGGTAGCGTCGCTGTACAGAGGAGAAGCTTACACGGAGGGAACATCCACTGCGGGAATGTCAAGGATAACCTCAGCTTTGTTGTGTGCAGCATCAGCCTCAAGGGCAGCACTTGTGGCGAGTGAGCTGCAGAAACTTGTTCCAGTTCTTATTCCACTACTCGATCCGCCTGTTGTGAGGGGGGAGGTGTCCGCGGCACACCTCATTGCCATCACCGGACATACGTCGAGAAGAAACGATGTGCATCAGCCTGACTGCCCCGTGCTTAGGCAACTGCTTCCGCTCACTGCGCTGGCTGACCATAGTGCTTTTCTAAAGCGCCCTTGTCGGTCGTGTCTTAAACGGCGCATTCATTTTCTTTCTAGTGAGCACTTCTGTATGAATCTTGAGGAGAAGTGCTCACAGGGTGGTGTGAATGTGCCGGCGGAGTGGGAGAGCATCGTGGCAACGCAGTTCGGGTCCGTTGTGTGTCTCATGGAGGAGTTTGTGATGTATGCGAAAAACCGGCGGGAACCAGGATGGACGTGGCTGGTGTATGACAAGGAACGGTCCGAAAGTCATCGACTTGTCGTGGTGAACTTTCCCTCTAATCGTGTCCCGCTGGAGTTGGGACTTTGGCCACTGGCTGTTATAAATATGACCGAGAGCAGGTTACTGTCGGCGATAGTGGCAAAGGCAACAACGACCGTGGTAGAGTCTCCTCCAGCGCCGTGGTCCCGTGCGGCCCGTAACACGTTCGTGGCAGCAACAGTAACTTCAACTGTAGCAGGGACGACTGCAACAACTGCTAATACTGTTGGCGACTTAGGTAAGGATCTTTCCTCTATTCGTGCGCAGATTGCCCAGGAGGCCGTGCTAGCGATGAACTGGGAGTTTGTCCTACAGCAATGGAGGCAGGCAGAGAGTTACTACACGTCGGTGGAGCGTGAGAACAAGATCTGCGTTCATCGCACAAAGATGGAGCGAGAGGCGGCTCTTGCGGCGATGAGTAAGCTACGTGACAGTGGAGCCACCATTCTTACATCGGACACAGTTGAAATCACGGTGGCAGGCGGCAACACAGCTGCCAAAAAGGCTTCTCAGGATCAAACGGTATCGACGCAGACAACGCAAGAGAATGGTAAAGAACAAAAAGAAGAAACAGAAGGTGCGGTTGGTGCAGCCGATCAAGATCCCCACTGTGTACAACTGGAGGATGGTACATGGCAGTACACGTATCAAAATGGTGCTGTGACACTCCTGCGGCCTGATGGCACCAGGGTCTTCAAGAAGAGCGAGCTGAACATCACGATTTTTGCGGATGGCAGTACTCTTTACGAGTACCCGAATAATACCTCCATCCTTGACCGCGTGGATGGTGTACGCGTGACGACCTTTGCGGATGGTACAAAGAAAGAAGAGCTGTACAAGTGAGGATAAGCGAGGATACCCCGTAGGGAGGGAGGGAGGGAGGAGGGGGGAACTGGATGGAGGTTGCAGTTGGTTCTTGGAAGGTCTTGAGAGGAAGACGAATTGCATTTGCTGTTTGTTGCAACTGCGTCAAATTTGTAGGGTGGCATACCGACCCCACATATTTTTACTTTTTGTTCTTATTTGATCGGTGTTCTTTTTCCACTTCTCTCACTGGAGGAAATTATTGATTGATTTCCATCCTATTTCTGCCTAATTTCTCCTACATATTAGGGCGATGTTCACATGCTCACGCCGGTGCTTCTTTGCTGCGCCAGTTCAGCCACTTTTGTGGTTTGGGCGCCGAGGTGCATTCGCGGTTCCTCACCCCTCAAAGGTGAAAAATGGCGGTGAAGATGCATTTTTGGTGCACACGAATGGCATTGGTGTAGCTGACGGTGTTGGCGGATACGCACGCGTCGGCATTGATCCTGCCGTCTTTACAAGAAATGTTATGCGGTTCACCCGGCATGCGTTGGAGAAGGATCAAAATCGCGGCACCATCACTGCCCTGGAGGCCCTAAATTATGGCTTTGCGGAGGCACAAAAAAAACGGCAACTCGGCGGGTGTCCGGTGTCCCTTGTCACTCTCGTCGATGGGCGTTTTGCATCTGTGCTGAACCTTGGTGACTGCGGCACGATATGCTTGCGGAGTTCCAAGCTCTTCTTTGCCACTGCGGCGCAGCAGCACAGGTTTAACTGCCCGTATCAGCTTCCGGAGGATTTACCTTCTGCCGGGGACCGCACGACACTCGAGTTGAGCGAGGGTGATGTTTTCCTTTGTGCGAGCGATGGGTTGCTTGACAATGTCGACATCTCAGATATACTGCAACGTTTAAGGGATGTTGAACGTCATGGCTGCCAGTATGTCGCAGAGACTCTGGTAGAGGAGGCCTGCAGAAACGGGGCTGATGAGAAGTTTATGTCCCCCTTTGCAAAGAATGCAAATGCGATGGGGTACCATTACACTGGCGGAAAGGAGGACGACGTGACAGTCGTTGTGGCGCAACTTACGCGGCTTGACGTTGAGCCCAACGCATGCCCGGGACTTATCACGGAACTCCTAAACTTGCCCACTGGGTGAAGTGAATAGCGGAGGGTCAAAGTGATGAAGGAAATCAAGCGGAGGGCGGTACCTGCCACAACACTTATATGAAGACAAGAAGCAAAACAAAACATATTGTGTGTATATGTGGCTCTACAAGTTAGTCACCGTTTGCTTCCTCTTCTTAGGTGACTGTTTGACTGCTGCATTGAATTTTGATTTAATTTATTTATTCTGTTTTTTTTTCTATGATGAATGATGTCGCTTTGCTAGGGTTTGTTTGTGGGGGAAGGAAGCTCAAGCGAGACCGCAACAGACAGCCGCCAAGGGCTAAAATGGAGGCGAAGTTCACCGCTGCACTAAGGCACTGTGGACAGTGTACGACATACCAAGAGCTGTGCAAGCGCTTCGATGCAACGGTGCGTCCACTGCTGGAGCGTTGTCTTTGCACGGCGTTGGTGCGGCCTGTGCGGGATCACGTGAGTCCGGATGAGTGCAGTCCGCATGCAGCACAACTGCGTGAGGCGTTATGTGATGCTAATGTGGGTGACGATGTATGGTTTTTTTTGGTCCGCTCCGCCGCAACGTTTTTGGAGCGCGCCGCGAAGAAACGTGGGCGTGATGGTGGGACAACAATACCAGCGCTTGTAGTGAATGTATTTGTGCTCTTTTACGGTCGTGTCATCCCGGACTTGTCACAGCTGCGTCTTCAGTGGAGTTTTTTGCAGAAGGAAAAGTCAAAGTATGAAGCCAGCGAGTCATACGTGCATTCCAACGCTGCGGAGCGGAGGAAGGCGTTGATGACGTCTGTCCTTTCTGTCTTCTCCGAGCGTGCTCACAGGCACTACTTCACCGCACTGTGGATGCCATGTCTCCATCACGCTTCGGAAGCTGCTCTCCATCTGCACCTGCTCAATCGCATAGGTGACGTCATTTTGCCATATCTTACCAATCCACTTGTTGTTGCTGATCACTTGAGCGGTTGCTTTTCTAGTGGTGGCCTTGTTGCTGTGCTGGCATTGCACGGCATCTTTCTCCTCATGCTTGACCATGGCCTGGAGTACCCCCAGTATTACCAACAACTATATACGCTTCTCACTCCTGACGCCGTTTCATCACGTCACCGATACGATCTTTTCCGTCTGTTGGATCTCTCTATGAGTTCCTTGCGCGTTCCTTCATATATTGGGGCTGCCTTTGTGAAGAAGGTGGCTCGTGTGGCTTTACTTTCACCGGCACCGGTGCTTTACTTTGCCCTTCCATTCATCCGCAAGATACTTCAGCGGCATCCCAATTGTCTGGCGTTGATTCATCGCTCCTCAAAGGAGGAAGTCAATTCAGCCGATGACACGGCAACGACAGTAGAGGAGGGGGAGTCGACAACTAAAAGGCAAAAAAAGCATGAAAGAGGAGGCACAACGTTTGACAGCGTCGCTTTTCGACGGCAATGATCCATACCTGCCGGAAGCGAGCCTTGAGGAGTGTCATGCACTGCATAGCACATTGTGGGAGTTCACGGTGTTGGAGAGGCACTTCATTCCTACGGTGCCGTTGATGGTGTCCGCATTCGCCAGCACTGCAGAGGATCAGGCACCGCTGCGGTACGAGAAGACATACGCACGTCTTTTTACGGCAGAGGTGACACGGCCCATGTCGAAGTCGCAGCTTCCGACGGTCGCCTACAGTGAGCCAGCGGAGGAAGATAGCGTCAATGCCGTTTTACTTGTGTGAGTGAATTATACACCTACACACATTTTTAAGGCGATAAATATATTTTCCTCTCGCTGTATGCATGCATACATACATATAAACATTATACATAACTAGAAGTTGTCGTGTAAAAGTGTAACCAATGCATGAAGGAGTCAGGATACATGTTATGACGCAGGAAAGGTGAGAATTATGTAAGGGATGCAATAAATAGTGTGGGGAAGGGGCAGAATTTTAATTGAAGCACCCCAAATGCACACTTCTTCTGCGCCTCTGTCTCTTCTGAATATATGAACATACTGATACAGGTGAAAATCGGGGATTAGAGGGAACTACTCAAGGGACTAATAAAACGAAATAAAAACGGGAAAAGGAAATAAAACAAAACCCCAAGTTTATGTGGAAGTGGCGGCTGTACAGCAGAAGAGGGTTGCTGGAAATACCGTTGACCCTTGAAGTATCGAGGCGCTTTTGTTGCCGCAACTGTCCTCAGCCACCCTCATGGATCTCTCAGTTGCGCAGTGATGCCAAGCAGTCCAAGACGGCTGCTTCATACGACGTGAAGATATACGATGAGCTCGTGTGGCGAAAGATGCGTTTCAGTTTTGATAAGGAACTCTGGGATCCGGCGCGGATGAGCAGCATTGTGCGCCGGCGGCTGTGTCTTGGAAATGAAGAGGCTGAGTACACTGTTATTGGTGAGGTTTTCGCATTTCCCGACCGTGAGGATGCCCCTGTGGTGAACGATCCACAGCACACATGCCGGTTGCTGTGGGACCACAATAGTCCCTCGGAGAAATTACTTGTTCAGCTTTCGGAACATTTTCCACCCTTGCTGTGGCACGCGGTTCGACCCTCACTTGATTCTTTAAAACGCATTTTTAGCGAATTTCTGGATGTCGATGCTCAGCACATGAAGAAATACCTCCCCTACTACGAATCCGTGCAAAACTCAATCGAGACATCTACGAAGGAGAGGCTCAGTGGGACACTCAGCCCTGTTAGTATTAAAGATCGCTTTGTTGAGGATATGCGACGACGCGACCCGAAGACCATTGAGTTGGATTACTCCCACGAGCATAACATCTTCCTCGGAACCTCCCCGCATTTTCGACTAGTGGAAGACAAGTTGATGAAGTCTAACCCCTTTGTCTTTGGTTGGCCACTGCTATTGAGCGATGGCAACAAGTATCTCGAAGGAACCCCCCTGCGCATGGCCGCTTTTCGCACCATTTACTCCAAGTCTTTGCTCATGCTTCATACACGACTTGATCTACAGGTCGATCACCGCCTGGCATGCCTTGAAGAGGGCGACGAGGAGGAAATTTTACTGGAGGTTCCTGTTTTCTGTACTATTAACTATCCACAAAATAGCCGTCTTTCGGGCGGCAAGCCGCTTGTGCAGCGCTTCAACGACGTCATGGGTACTACGTACCCGCTTGACACCCCCGTTGACGTGCTTGCCGCGCTGGCGAAGGAGACCACCACAAAAGGGGCAAAGGAACTTTTGGAGGAGCTTAAGTTCTTGACGGTGGCATCCGCTCGAGCCCCTGAAGTGGAACGTGTCATTCGCATCTCTGACGATCAGCTGAGCTCCAATCGAATTCTTGGTCAGTTAGCGTACACTATTATCTACTTGGCGCTGTTGAACTATGAGCGTTTTGTGGAGGAGGTGTTTGATGTGTACAAGGGGCACAAGAGTGACTTGGTGCGGGTGGCGTGTGCCAAGGGGGCACATATTGTGGAGCGCCCGGACCTCATTGAGCAGCTTGTGGCCGCAGAACCGGAGGGCACCCGATGCAAAAAAATGCTGCAGTCATCTATGCATGGCCTGCCAACGACGGCAAACCCGTAAAAAAACCTTCTTCTTTGCTTGGTTCTTTTTTTTTTTTGGTAATAAAAAAACAAAAGCAAAAAAAAAACAACGACTGAGCAATGCCTTTTTTCACATTTAATCTTTGTTTTGTCAGATTAATTTTTTTTTTGCTTATTTTGGAGTGTCGGGGGGGGATGGGGAGAACGACACCCTCACGGGATGACAACATGTGTATGTACTTATGCACACATTGAGTGCATGTCCGTGTGTGTGTATTGACTCCTCCGTCGCATTGATTTTCCGTTTGTTCTCTGTTGCGTGTTGCCTTACTGTATTTTGGGCTCTGGTGCCATCTGGGCGGGGATGAGGATGGGGGGAGTCAATTGCGAGGTATGACCTCGGGGAAGCGGTTCAGTCTCGCGTGCTGCGGAGCGTTGCGTTGACGTTCCACAGCGTCGTGCGGGAGGAAAGCACACGGTACGAGTGCGACCTTGAGCGTGGCCTCTCGGTCGCTGCTCCCACGACGGATGCTGCAGGTCGTGTGACAATGAGGGAGTCAGTGCCGAACTACCTCTTCTTTCCGCAGCAAAACTTCACGGATGTGCGCAGGGACCTTGACACGCTGACTGGATTTTCAACCGTAGCGCTTATCGGTGGCACCGGTTTTTTTTTATTTCGCACGGTTTGTTGTGAATCAGTGCCTTCAGCGTGGTATCATCGTGACAGTCCTTTCACGAGACCTCCACAAGGCGAAGGATAGTTTTCTTGCGCTGCACAAGCGAAACGTCGTACACGGGATGGAGGTTGTGGAAGAACACAACGCAGGCCTGACTGAGTAAAGCAGCCTTATGCACTAGATATCCTGTATAAAGAAGGGAAGCGTTGTGGCACCGTTGCAGTTGCAGCTACTGCGAGACGATGTGACGTCTCTAGAAGCGGTACAGCGCGCGGTACGGCAGGCGTCTCTTGTTGTGTATGTGGCATCAGAGAAGCGCAGCAGCTGGTGGAGGCCGTGAGCGAGGTGCAATGACCCTGGTTGTGCCAAAGTAGATGTAGAGGGGCTGCGCCATACTCTAGAGGCTTGTAGCCTTGTGGACGCCCACCTTGTTGTCTTTGTGCCAATTTTTAATAGATCCTCGTGGAGGTTGCCACTGCAGTGGTATCGCAAACTGTTTGTGTACCGCGTCGGCTATCTCAAGGCGACACGAAAACAGGAACGCTTTCTCATTAACGACGGCGGTTCTCTCTCTCTGAGCTATGTCTTCGGCATGGTGGGCCGCTGCGCTTCACGCTGTTTCAAGTAAGTGACATTGTATGCCCCAGTCTTAACAAGCGTGTCGAAATAGCAAACAACAGCAATATCGCCGACCCACTTCATCATATTTCTCTTCACCGTGAAGATATAGAGGCAAAAATATTGGCAAATATTATTTTTTGCGTGCTGTGGCGTTATGCCGCTCCCCGATTGGAAGCCGGCTGGATGTAACGGGGTGCATGCGACATGGCGTGGACTTGGCCCCTGTGGACACTTTATTGCAAAGGCTTCGGAACGACTAACACAGGACGCAGATGTGAACTCCGTGTGGTTGCAACAGTGGGTAAAATAGTTGAGGCAGCGGCATATTTTTAATTACATGAAAGCAACACTTTTCTCTTGTTATCCTTTTCGGTGGAGATGAGTCTCTTAGCCCGCTCTTCTTAAAGGCGCCGTTGTTGTGCTTCTCTTTGCAGCTAGATTATATTGTTTGTGTCGTCTTTACTCCCATTTTTTGTTTTGTTTTTCGGGTGCCTGGAAAGCCACTTTCTTATTTCGACAGGCTGAGACTGTGGAATGAGTTCATGACGATACTACCACAAGAAGTTGACTCAAAGGCGGTGCTTGATGAACGTGACAGCGCCTCGTCTTCATCCATGGAAAGCGAGGGCGATGGTGGTGAGGAATCCGCTGATGGCGCTGTGGTTCCACTGGATGTGATGTACGCCATGACCCACATTATCCAAAAGCAGGATGATGAAATATCACGTCTTCATAGGTTACAAGAGACCGCACGAGAGGAGGAGATGCTACGCCGTCGTGAGCTGCTACGAGAGCGGGTAGCATCGGTGCGGCATTTATTGGCGGGCACAAAAGAACCTATTGGTGAAGAGGGATGTCGGCCAAATGCCGTCAGCATCTCCATAGAGCCATCAAACCCGGATTCAGAACTCAGCCCTGCTCCCGTCACTAAGCTGAGGGAACATCTGCCGTGGCATACACGACTCTGGCACTCTGTTTACAATAATATTCGCTTTCTTGTCGTTACAGCAGCATATACCACAGGCGCCAATATCCAAGCTACGCACGCACCAAATGAGTACTACCACCGGAAGTCATATAGTACATTACGAAATGTATTGAACCCATCCTCAATGTAGCGCCCTTTTCAACAACTCCTCACTTCTGGATAACTATTTTTTGCTCCTTGTGAAAAGGAAAACATTATTGTCCCATCTGCTATTGGCATGCGCCTACGAAGACAGTTTACAACACCGTCATCCAGCTGCACGCACCCTCTTCTCTTTTCAATGGTCGGCTGTTCGGGGCGCGGCACCGTGGAATAAACAACGACAAAGAGTGACGTAGGGATAGAAGTTTGAGAGGTAGGTCGGAAGGTTGTAGGAAGCGCTGGAGCTATTTTTATTTAATTAAGCAGAATGCCCCTAGCACATAACCTCATAGAGAGGATGCTTACCGTGAAGGGGAGCAGCACGCAGCGGCAGATTCTTATCCGAGAGGAAGACATACGCAGTGTTCTTAATGCAGTTCGCGATGTGTTCATGTCTCAGCCAATGCTGCTGGAAATCAGGTCACCGGTGCGTATTTGCGGTGATACCCACGGACAGTACTACGATCTGATGCGCATATTTGAGAAGTGTGGGTTTCCGCCGTATTCAAACTACTTGTTCCTTGGGGACTACGTGGACCGCGGCAAGCACAGCGTGGAGACGATCACCCTTCTGTACTGCTACAAGATTGTGTACCCCGAGAACTTCTTTCTGCTGCGCGGCAACCACGAGTGCGCCAGCATCAATAAGATGTATGGTTTTTTTGACGACGTGAAACGCCGGTACAACGTCAAGTTGTTCAGGGCATTTACAGACGTGTTCAACACGATGCCTGTGTGCTGCGTGGTGAGTGAGAAGATCATTTGCATGCACGGTGGACTGAGTCCTGACCTGACTTCGCTCGCCACCGTGAACGAAATAGGGCGCCCGTGTGATGTACCCGACAAGGGCATTCTATGTGATCTTCTCTGGGCCGACCCCGAGGACGAAGTGAAAGGGTTTCTGGAGAGTGATCGGGGCGTAAGCTACCTGTTCGGCGAGGACATTGTGAGCGACTTTCTAGACATGGTGGACATGGACCTCGTGGTACGTGCGCACCAGGTGATGGAGCGTGGATACGGGTTTTTTGCCAATCGACAGCTAGTGACGATCTTTTCGGCTCCGAACTACTGTGGCGAGTTTGACAATGATGCAGCCGTGATGAATGTAGATGAAAAGCTGCAGTGCTCGTTTCTCATTGTTCCAGCGAACAATTAATTGTATCATACCTTGTTGATGTTATATCCCCTTGATTGTTCTTGTTGTTGGGTCTTCCTTTCTTACGGGAGTACTGCTGCAGCCAATGTCTCCCGGTGTGTTTGTGCCTCGACGACAGTCGTGGCAGTGACAGTGTTCATTGAAGTAAAAAAGCTGTTGTCAACCTGACTTCTGTCTTCGTCTTGTCTGTTGTTTTTCATTTTGTTTGATGTGGACGGGTTGAGGGATGGAAGTCGGTGTTGAAATCGGTTCCATTTTTCGGGTGTATTGCTGTTGCATTGTCTGTCAGTTATCGCGCCCCCTAGATGCAGGGCACGCGTTCGAGGGTGTAATGAAAAGTAAGCAAAAGATGCTGCAAGTGGAGTCTGTTCCTGCCCCACTTTCTCTCTCTCTCTCTCTCTCTTTGTTTGCTTGTGCGCCATTTTGTGAGAGAGTGTAATTGCTCCGTTAACGATGCCATGTGTCACATGTCCTGATTTGGCTTCATTAACTCCGTGGGGCGAGCTTTACGGGGGAAGAGCAGAGAGGTGTTTGTGGGACTCCTTCACTGACTCTCAGATCCTTTTGTTGTTTGTCTCTGCGTCTGTAGGAAGGAGGTCTGGAGTAGCTTGAGGCTTGGCTCTAAGGAGCGTGGCCGAGTGAAGTTTGGGCTAGCCTGGAATCCCCCGTGCTTGGTACTCTGTCAAGGGTCGGGGTCTTTATTTGTTCGGTTCAATCACTTCTGTGTTACTCCGCGATGTTCTGTTTGTATGGTTTAATGTAAAGAAAAAAGGCACATACCAGCTATGGTACTGGTGTGGCTGAATAATATGACGTTGCTGAGCCTGAAGGATGTCAGAGACTCGGTAGTGTATATGGGAGTTGTATGTGTTGCCTGGCCCTTGAGGTTTGTTCTTCCTTTTGTCCTGGAAATGTGTGCCTTCTGTGTTGTCTTGTTTTGTTCATCGTGTTGTGTGTGTGTTTTTTTTTGTTTTTGTGGTGCCTGTCTAACGGTATGACCCCTTTTCTTCTAAAGCCATAGAGAATGGGGAATAGATGTTGGGCAACACTATGAGGGAAGCATTATTTGGCGAGGATACGATGCCGGTGGAGGAGCAGGGAGGGTGAATCAAAAAAATAAGTGAGGTAAAGACGCAGCTATATATTTGTAGACTGTGTCTGTGATGAGGGGTGAGGAAGGAAGCAAAGAGGGCAAATAGGTACACAACACATACACACAAATATATATATATATATATATATATATATATATGTACATGTACAGAGGCGGCGTGGGCGGGCGAAGAGGGGAAGGGGACGGAAAGAGCACCTGCTTTTAGAAGTAGTTACTGTTTTTATGACGTCACCATTGCTGTATGATGGCCCCCGCCCCCACCGTTGGACTATTATTTTCTTCTATTGTTTTTGTCGCTTTCTCGTAGGCTTGTTTTGGTGTATGTTTTTTATTTTATTTTTGGTGGTGGTAGTGAAGGGGGAAGTAAAAGTGTAGTGGTGTGCCTCCCGGTGACTTTGCGTTTTGTGACTGTTATCAAGCTTTGTGGGTTGTCGCTGGCTGCCACCACCAGTTTTTCTGCATGTACCTTTTCGGTTTGGTTTGTTTCCAAAGTTCTCGTTTTCACATCCGTCCTTTTTTGCGTGTGTGAGTGTGCGTCTGTGTGTATGTGTGTGTGTGTGTGTTCTCCTGCACCTTGTGCATCTCTGCAGCCGCAGCTGTTGTTATGTTAAACACACCTGTTTAACAGCTTCTGTACACGTATTTGCATATGCATATGCGTGCGTGTGTCGATGCCGTCGCATGGTTTATCACACGCTGGGAATATCTGCTGTTCATGCCCCTGGGAGAGTGTGAGACGGTGCATGGGAGCTGCCGCAGTTCAGCCACAGACAGCGCAGCGACCCAAAAGCAGCATCGCAAGTCACGCACACATACATAAAAAGTCCTTGATGTATTTTCTTTTCTCTTACCGTCGTCTCATTTGTTATTGTATTGTTTGTTGTGTATGTGTGTCGTTTTCCTCGGTATGGCTCCTTTTCCCCGCCTTCTTTTTCACTCGTACCCCCATCTTCCACTCTTGTGATTTTTGCACTTGTATTTGATGTCTAGTGGGGCCCTCACGCAACTCCCTGTTTCCTCAACAAATTGGAACGCTGCAAGACAACACTCACGAAGAAATGAAATGTCGCCGTGCACACAAGTGTGCGTTTGGGTTTGGGTGCAGGCGAAGACGTTTGTGCTGCACGCGATTTGGTCTTCTACGCTAATGAAATTGTGAGTGCCACGGCGCGTCGCAGCATCTCCCTCCTTCGTCTCTTTTTTTTTTTGTGCGGTTGCAGTATTGTGGTGGGCTAGCAGCAAGTGGTGAGCGTGTCAGCGCTTCTGCGGTGCACACGGATTGAAGCGAAGGCAAACGGCAAAGATCCACGCAGAGGTGCGTGTGAATTTGCAGGTGCCAAGCAAGCAGACACACACTCTGAAAGTAAGATGGTGGAAAGGGTTTGTTTCAAACACATAGACACGCCGCGCACACAGTTGACTGAAGGCCGTTTTTTGAAACTTACAGAGGGCAAGCAATAGAATATCGCAACACACATGTTCCTTCTGCTTTATCCTTCGGTTTTTATTGTTGCAGTAATTGGGATGGTGGCGAATTATTTGCAGCTCCTCGGAGGTGAGCCTTCTTGATTTTGACTGGACTGCGTCGGTGGTGGGCAGTGGTCACCTCCCCACTGCCGCTAGCAACGTGACGGCGCGTACAGTTGGCACTTAGGAAGCTCAGAGGGTGGGGCAACTATGAGGAAACACAACAGTCGTAGCGCCACGCCGTTGCTCCAACTCATTGTGGATGTGGCCGGTGTGGCACCTCTCATTGTGGTGTTTTTGTGTTTTTTTGTTTGTGCCGCCTGCTCCCCGATGAGGTGTGAAGTTTTTTTTTTTTTTTTGCTACGGCCCACGTCGAGGTGCAGAATGGCGAGAAAGGGCAGTTAGTGAAATTCATGCTGCTTCCCCACTATTGTTTGCTGATAGAACTCGATGGTGAGAGGTTTGATGCGTTATATTGCCGCACTGCGCACTGATATTGACGGGATGGAGATTTAAGGTGTCTTTTTTGCTGTTTTTTTTTCTGTATTTCTTCCCCCACTCTCTTTGCGCCACCATGCTTCTATATCGCGGGTGGTGTTTAACGCATGTCATATGGTGTTGATGTTGGCGTCTGAAAGGGTACACTGGTATCGTGCACGACCGTTGTACTACAGATGTGCTCAGCGTTGTTGGAGGTGTAGTGGCAGCCAATGAGAAAAAGTAAGTAGTAAACAAACATTCTCTTCTCTTTTGTATTGTGCTGAGCCAAATGAGGTGAGTAGGAGGGAAGGAGGGGTTCACTTGCATCGGTGGGTGAGGACAAAGCCTGTGGGGAGCAAAGAAAACAAGGAGTGAGAGAGGAAACGAGACAAGGAAAGATGCAGCAAGTAAAGGTTCTTACAGCGGAAAAGGACCAGGAATTGCTGGAGTGCGTCCTACGGTTACCGCTTCAAAACGCGGAAGCAGCGCTCATGATGATGCAAGTGCTGCGGGTGGAACCGCCCGTGCCAGGGACATCAAAGGAGGTTACGCTTTGCGCAGATGACAGCACGCGGTCTACAATCTACGTCAAACTAGGGGCCGCTCAGGAACGTTCACTGCGCGCAGCAGTAGGAGCACTTCTCGAACAATCTAAACTTATTTTACGGACAATGGACGCATTTCCTCTCATTGCACACCACACTGTGTAGGGTGGTTATTGGATGGATGTCGCTGCATTGCACTCTCTTTAGCACTTGTGTTTCTGGAGTTGCTTCGTGTCTTCTTTATCTATGGGTCATGTGTGTATGTCTACAGGCTGCTGCGCCATGCATACATCGCGTTGATAATGTTTTTGCCTTCCTTTCTTATTTGTTGTTGTTGTTGCACCTAGAAAGCTAACAACTCTCCTATAACGTAAGAACGAAGTTAATGTCTGTTAAGGACGTCAGCAAGAAGAGCGGTGAGCTGGAGGGGAAGCTCAAGGGGAAGCTGTTCTTGGGTGGCACAAAGCCCTCCGAGGAGGACGTGAAGCTGTTTAACGACTTGCTTGGTGCCAACAACACATGTCTGTACCGTTGGGTGAAGCATATGGCCTCCTTCACGGAAGCGGAGCGCAAGGCGTGGGGTTCCCCAGTGAAGGTAACTGCTCCTGCTCCTGCCCAGGCCGCTGCTGCTGCTGCTGCTGCTGCTGTAAAGGAAGCACCAAAGAAGGCTGTCCATGCTCCCGCCAAGAAGGAGGCTGACGACGACATTGACCTGTTCGGGGATGCGACAGAGGAAGAGACAGCTGCTCTCGAGGCCAAGAAGAAGAAGGACGCTGAGACCAAGAAGGCCAAGAAGGAGATCATCGCCAAGTCATCCATCCTGTTTGACGTTAAGCCATGGGACGATACCGTGGACCTTGAGGCGCTGGCGAAGAAGCTGCACGCCATTGAACGCGACGGCCTGCTCTGGGGCGACCACAAGCTGGTGCCTGTGGCGTTCGGCGTGAAGAAGCTGCAACAGCTCATCGTTATTGAGGACGACAAGGTCTCCAGTGATGATTTGGAGGATTTGATCATGTCGTTTGAGAATGACGTGCAGTCTATGGACATTGTCGCCTGGAACAAGATCTAAGTCACTCCCTGTTATCATTGAAGCGAAATTAAAAAAAAAGATAAACGAAAGAGGGAAAGAAAGAGAATAAGGGGAATGACGTGAGAAACTCTACTGTGGAATTTATGGCGTGCTCATTTTCTTTTCTTTTTTTCTGTGGTTGAGGTAATTTTAATTAGGTATTAAACAACTGTTCTGGAGGAAAAGGAGAGGGGAAGGATGTGCATGCCGGTGAAGAGATGGGTGCTTCCTTTTTTAAAAAAAATTTGTTTTTCCCTTTTACTGTAACTGTACTTGGTCGCATGGAGCATATTATTCCTCTTGAGCATATTGTTTCTGTTGTTGTTGTTTTTTTTTTTTTTTTTTTCTATCACTCTTCCCTGCTTCCTTTTTTGTTATTTTTGCCTCGGCCTTGATGCAGTGGGGTAGGGCATTTGTGTAGATTATTAGGGGGGCATAGGAGGCAGTCCAGGTGGTGTTTAAGACGGGAACGTGGGGTGTGCGTTGCCGACTACCTACAGCTTTCTTTTGCGTTTTTCTCTTTTAAAATTTGTAGTTGTGTGGGTGTTTCACGCTCTTTGCGTGTGTCAATTTGTTGCGCGTGGAAAGTGGCGTTTGCGGCAGTGTTTGACACACTTGTGCTGCCTTATTAACAAGCGCGGTCTTTGGGCATCCTGCGGGCGAGGTTGAAGGGAGTCCGTTTCTCACTCGTGTCTAAGTAAATATTTAAAAATTATTTCTTCGCGTGTGATGTCTGCTGTGGTTACTCGCAAGCGAAGTCGCTCTCAATCCGCAGAGAAGGCGGTGGAGCAGCGAGAAGCAGCCCCAGCTGTGCGCCGTGAAAAGATCATTGAGGAGGAAGAGAAGTCCGCCATTCGTCAACTAGTGATGTCTATTTTGCAGGACTGGCAGAGTGCGCAGAAGCTTCTCAATGAGGAGATCATCCGCACTGTGCTGCGTCGTGTGCGACCGGTGCTGATGTCGCAACCGATGTTGGTGAGAGTTGAGGCCCCCGTTAACGTCTGTGGGGACATACACGGCCAGATCAATGATCTCGTAGAGATATTCCGGGCGGGTGGGATGCCACCCGAGTCGCGCTACTTGTTCCTTGGCGATTATGTGGATCGTGGGAAGTACGGCACAGAGGTGATCACCGTGTTACTCGGTCTGAAGGTCCTTCACCCTGATAAGATCTGCATCCTTCGTGGCAACCACGAGTCTGAGAGCATCTGTAGAATATATGGCTTCTTTGACGAGGTGAAGCGCCGCTTTTCAGTGAAGCTTTTCAAGGAGTTCACGGACGTCTTTAATTGTCTTCCCATCGCTGCTCTCATTGAGGAGATTGCGCTCTGCATGCACGGCGGCCTGAGTCCAGAACTACGCAACCTCAACCAGATTGATCAGATTCGCCGTCCGCTGATGGTGCCGGACGCGGGGTTAGCCTGCGACATTTTGTGGTCGGACCCCGAGGAGAATAGCTGCGGGTGGATGCAGAGCGAGCGCGGGGTGAGCTACACATTTGGCGAGGACGTCGTGCGGCGGGCCTGCAACAATCTTAAAATTGACGTTGTGCTGCGCGCCCATCAGGTAGTCGATAACGGTTACGCATTTTTTTCAGAGAGGCGGTTGGTGACAATCTTTAGTGCATCAAACTACTGCGGTGAGTTCACAAACAGTGGGGCGATGATGATGATGGACGAGAACTGCAAGTGTAGTTTTCAGATCTTTAAGCCGCAGTACTAGCAGGCGAGGAGGAAAACGCAAACGCGGAAACAAAACTGAGAAGGAAAGGAGTAATAACGATGAGCGTAATGGAAAAAAGGGAAGCAAACAACACGAAAGTGGGAAAAAGAAGGCAGATGCAGAGGCTGAAGTAAGAAGTACCCCGGCAACGAGAGGAAGGAGGAGGAGGAGAAAGTGCAGAAGGAAAAAGAAAAAAAAATGAAGTGAGGCAAACAAACAAAAGAAAAGAAAAACATTAAGCATTTCAGCTGCGGGGAAAGAAGAGATGAGGCGTAGAGTTTCCCAACTCTCATGAACAGGGAGAAGACAAAACAGTAAAATGCACTGAGAAAGGCAAACGTACACACGTAGACACCTAAAGCGAGAGAGATTAAAAAAAAAAGCTGCGCGGAGTTCCTCCTTCCAAGTGAGATGGGGACACATTTTTCTCGCACATTTGCATTTATACGTTGCTATGTGTGCCGGGTGTGTGCTCAGTGAAAGGGCATCTGCGTGTCTGCTTCTGGGCGAGAAGATTGGAGGAAAGTGAGAGCGTGGAAATCTTCGAGGACAGCTGAGGATGTGGGGAGAGGGTGAACATGGATGTGTCGTGCAGCCTCCCACGGGACTTGGCGGCGCCTTTCAAAACATGCATCCCCGCACGTACTTCGTCTAATAATAATAATAATATTAATAATAAAATGTGGTGGAGTGACGCTTCTGTGTGTTTGTGTTTGTGTCTGTGTGTGGTCTACCCTGTGTCACGCTTGCTGCATATCTCCAGCTTGTACTTACACGGCTTCGCCAGTCTCCCACTCCCACGACATGTTTTTTTTTAATTCTTCGGGTGCTTCCTTTTCTCTCCCGCTACGTGCGTGTATGTGCGTGCTGGAGTGTCAGTCTTATTGTGTGTGTGTGTTGTTGTTGTTGTTGTTGTTGTTACTTCTTCATTACATGGTTGTCTCTTATTAGCCTTTGGCCGCGTTTACTTAGTGCCTGCGTTATTTAATTACTTTTGTTGTGACCCCATTGTTTTTATTCTTGTGTTTCTCTCTCTATCCCCCCCCCTTCCTTTGATTTTGTGCAGGTGTCTCCGGCGAAAGCAACAACAGCAGCGAGGATGGTTCTTCCCACCCGCCAGAAGGTAGACCGCCGCTCCCGTAAGGGCAGCAAGAAGCACCGCCCCGAGATTATTGTAGTGGACCTCAAGGATCACGTGCTGGGGCGCGCCGCCGCCATCGTCGCCAAGCAGCTTCTGCTTGGCAAGAAGATCACGGCTGTGCGTTGCGAGCAGCTGACAATTGCGGGGACGGAGATCCGCAACAAGATCAAGTATCTGCAGTTCCTCCGCAAGCGGAAGCTGTCAAACCCAAAGCTTGGTCCCTTTCACCACCGCAGCCCCTCTGACATCTTCCTGCGTACGGTGCGGTCCATGCTGCCCCGCTACACGAAGCGCGGTCAGAAGGCGCTGCGCCAGCTTGTGGCGTACGAGGGTGTTCCCACGAACGTTGTGCGCACTGGTGGTCGCGTGGTGATCCCCAAGGCTCAGCGTCACTACTGCTACCGCGGTGAGCGTCCTTACACGGTGCTGGGTAACATGTGCAAGCACGTTGGCTGGAAGTACAGCGATGTTGTGAAGAAGCTCGAGACGGCTCGCGTGGAGAAGGCAACCCGCCACCACAAGAAGACGGAGAAGCTGCGCGTCGCTTGGAAGGCTGCTCGCAAGGAGGCCCTTGCGAAGGTCTCCAAGAGCAACCTGCAGGTGCTGAAGAAGTTTGGCTACGCGTAGGGGAAACTGCGAAGAAGCCCGTGGTGGTCGCTCGTGGAGGTCTTCTTGTAGCGTCATCACTGTTTCCGTTATTTTTCCGCGGTGACACCAGGATTTTTCTTCTTTTTTATTTTTCTTGTTTTTGGGACAAGCGTAAAGACGCGCCTGCATTATTTTAGATTTGTTTTTGCTTTGTGTTTTTTGGTGCTTTTCCTTGTCGGGTTCAGGCCGTTTGCCGGTCTCCGTCGCAATGCTGTTCTTTTGGCCGCAGCCACAAAATACGTTCTTTTATCCATTGTCCTCTTTGATGCGTACACACGTGTGGACTTTTCCCTGGAACAACCAACGCTGAGTCAAGTGCGAGTGGGCTTCTGAGACAGCAGCGGCGGGAATTTCTGGTGAACACGCACTCCACTACAAACTAGAAATAAAAATAAAAGGTAGTAACAATAATAAATAGAAACCGCAAAAGAAACGGAGGAGGTGGTGTCAAGACGATGAGTAGGGCACCACGCAACGGGATTGCCTCGCAGCGGTATGCCACGTCGGAGAGAGGCGTCCCATACAAGCGCCAGCGCCTCGTAGCCGTCTCTCAGAGCAGCAGTGGCGGCGGCAGCAGCATGTCCCTGATTCCGAGAGACAACAATACTCGCGGCCCCAGACGCCTGACGTTTAACAACTTTGACACTTTTAACTCACGAGAAAAGAAATTGCCACCCGATGCAAATGCGGAGGTGGCGCCTAATACCAAGCTTTGGCAACTTCAAGAGCGAGCTTCATTTTATTGCAATAAGTGCAGACGGGACAATATCATTTCGGACACAATTGCTGTAGATGCGGTGCATCAATTGATGCTCTGCACACGGTGCTTCATTCGTATCATTCGGCCCCGTTCGTACCGTCCCAGCCGTGTTGTACCTTTTCCATCTCTTCTTTCGTGGCTAAACTACAAACCTTCAAAGGTGATGGAGATGTCTGAAGACATTTCTAGCCGCCCCGCTGAAGCTGTGGCACCTTCAGGCGAACGCATTGCCAACCCAACCCTCGGTGGTGGGGATCGGCCCGCACATATTCAAAACCTCCCCGCCATAGCAATGAACACAGTACCCTCCGCGCGTGGCGGTGTAGTCACAGGTGGCAAAGGCTCAAGATCAGCTCAGCGGCAGGATGAGTCTCATCCGTGTATCCGCGTTTGGGGAAGTTGTGTACACGGTGAAACATGTATGTTTTGTCGTGCGCCATACGATTTGTGCATCGCTTTTTTGATGGGTTTGTGTCCTGGGGACGAGGAGAAATGTCATCTTCTGCACCAGAAAGTCTTTAGCCTACCGAATGCGGCTGATCCGATGCCCCTGCAGCGCCGAGCGGAGGACGTGGATGATGCGGAGAGTGAGTGGGGCAAATGGATTGCACGGCGGAAAAATAGCCCAAATTCGGCAGAGTGGCAGTTGTGGCACAATGGGCCCGTGTTGAACTTCCTCAACGTGTACGCCCCTGTGGCGCCCGAGGAGGATAGGGAGAAGGAGGAAGAGGATAAGGAAAAGCAGAGTAGCGGGAAGTCAGCGATCAAGCTCAACTTTGCTGACATCTCTGCAGCCCTTCAAAGTCTAAAGCAATAACACACCGATGGAGTAAAGGAGGACAGGGGAATTCTGTCCAAATTTAGGTGGTTTTTCCCCCGTTTTTTGCCCTTAACGGCCCTCGCGGCATTTTCTTTCATTTGTGTGTTTGCGTAGTTTTCATTCTTTTTCTCCCTCTTTCACTCTGTGAGTGAAGAGTAAAGGAGAAAGAAGATGTTGGAGATAAACTTACGGGGGCGCCTTTGATTGCAACTTCCATTTGACTGTGGTTTTATCAGTCTCCCTTTTTTTTTTGTATTGATTCTGCAATACACACTCGAACTGCACACCTGAAATATACATATGGGTTTTCCGTTTTTTGAAAGCAAACAGTTGCACTATCGTACGCTGGGGTTTTATGTCTGGATGACTAGCACGGGCTGCGTGGTGTGTGGTCGTAAAGGCAAGTAAAAGCAAAACATAATGCGGCGGTGCGCTCTTGTACGGGCGGCAAATCCCTTACCATCGACTGTGCACGCCTCCATCGGCAATATCAACAATAAACAGAGCGTTGTCTCCCCTTGTTGCCATACCGTTGCGGAACCGTCAGTTGACACTAATGCAGAGGAATATCGACACTTGGCACATGAATTGGCGCTACTGTCACAGGAAGAGTTTGGTCGTCGTCTCTATCGGTTTAGCCGAACAAAGTTTGATCCCATACACACTACGGCGGTCCACGCACATCTATCTGAGTTGCTTTCCCGACGCGTGCAAGAGTTAACCGTGAAGTGTGTTCGTGAGTATGCCCATCTGGCGCATGTCGCTAATCTACATAAGCTGTGCTTAGAAGTATACTACGCCCGAGCGAGTGTTACCACAGTCGCTTCCGCGGTGGAAGTTAATAACATGAATGTTGGGAACTTTGCTGTTTCTGACTTTGTTGTTGACAGTGCTTACGCCCTTGGTAGTACGCCTGACCTGATTCGTTTAGCGTCTGATTGCGTAAAGCATCTACAACACGTACCATCCCTTGGTTGGGAGGTGATGAGTGCGTTCTCTTTGGTTCGTGCGTTTTGGCGCTGCATTTGCATTGCCTCAAATAACGGAAGACAGATGAATGCAGACTCCAAGCAAACCCTTCAGGACGCTGCTCACATCTATGATGAATGCATGGGGTTGGTGTACCCCGACTCTTATGGGGAGCTTAGTACACAAGATGCCATACGCACAGTCCAGAGGTTCGTGCAATATGCTTCTTCTGCGGATGAGGGGGAGATGCTTTTCTTTCGGTTTTGTTTTCAAAAGGGGTTTCTTCGAAGGCCACGCGATATAGTGCGAGGAGAGGGCAGTGATAATGGACTTGGGGCAAGTGTTGGTGGCACTTATAAGGGAGGAATAATTACCGAGGAGCAGTGGTTCTATGCGAGTCTCATCGCGACATGCCGCGTTGGAAATCACGTGGACTCTGCACTCCGGTACTTTGACATCATTGGATCGTTCCTTGGAATTGTGCAGGTTAGTTGCAACGATCTTCTTCGTCCCTCCGCACGGAAGCTTCAGCAAGACGGTTGGAAGCTGCCAGAAGAAGCTAAAGAATCGAAAAGTGGAAAATCGGTGGAAGTCTCAGAGTACCTTATCTTTCAGCTACTGAACGTACTTCAAACAGCAAAGGATAACAAAAAGATTGTCTTTATCGCACGAGCAATGTTACAGGATGAGGTGAAACTTGGTATAAGTGTTTGGAGCATCGTGCTGATTGCGGCAGGCGAGATGCGAGCTGTGGATTTGGCACTTGTCGCCTATTCACAAGCTAGGGAAGCTCTACTAGATGGCGGTCACGCCATGGACCGCCGCGGGAATGAGTACCTGTTACAAACCGCCATTCATGCGTTGTCCAAATGTCAGGTCCCTCGATTTGAGGAAGAGTACCTGCGGCCTTGTAAAGACCAGCAACTGATGCATTGTACTAATGAGTTCTACTTCTGTGCTCTCCTTCAACACGCACATAACTCCATGGACCCTGCAGCCGGTGCGGAGGAGGTTCTACGCAGAATGAGGGAGAAGGGAACGCCGCTCACCACTCGAGTAATCTCCAGGCTAATTAAAATTTACTTGCGCATCGAGTCCCCCAAGCTACTAGAACTGTATCAACATGCCACGCAACAACTCAAGGCATTCAAGCTGTCATGGCTTGATGAGCTGCTGCTGTGGGCCGATCGACGTCGATACAACCTCTCCCGTGAGGATCGAAAATACATATTGGATGAAGTGCAACGTGTTCACGGCACAAAAAGCATACGGGACGACCTTGGCGGGCTCCGCCCACAGTATGCACTTTTAAAATATGACTACGAACACGCCCCACTGGAGGTTTTTGCCTCCACATCGCACCCACCCGAGAAGGAGCCAAATATATTGGACCCACGCGTCCACTTTCTTCTAAAATATCCTCATTGTGTAGCTCATGCCCCACAGAAAAGATGTATCTACCGTACATTAGGGCACACCAGCACATTTGTAGATCTCGAACGAACACAAATGTTTTTGCGCTCAACTCTACTCAGCACAGAAGGTGCAACTACGAACAATGAAAAAAACAAAACAGAGGAATTTCGCATGTACATGGGTCGCATCCTTCAGGCTCTGCAAAGCAGTAACAATTGCGCAGCATAGAACACCTAACGGGTTCATTTTCACGTAAAAACATCAAAGAAAAAACAAAACAAGACCCCAAGACCAAAACAAATTTCTTTGATCTCTACTTTTACTCACAAACGCAAACGTTCAGATGGCGGTGCTTCCACGTTGCGGTGGTTCTCGCCTGCACCGAAGGAGTGTGAACGCCAACGTTTTTCTTCTTTTTTTGTTCTGCTCTTTGTGTCTCCGATGCAGCACCAAGGCAATAATTAAGCTTTCCACAGCCACCAAAAAGGAACCATGTGCTGCTGTCCCTCTTTGCGCATACTGGTGCTGATCATGGCCGTATTGGCCACCGCCTGTGCTGTGTGTGCCAACATTTTTCCTGTGTTCCAAAAGAAGAGCGATACTGTGACGATGAAACAGACACTATGGTACAGCAGAACAATCTTGCCGGGTGGCAATGAAACCGAGCATAAGGTGAGCAAGAGCTTGTGCCAGCAGTACAAGTTATTTTTCAGGCCTCTGAGGCGATGGCTGTGGGTGCTATTGGTGTTGGCCTCATCGTGGTGGGGTTCTCCATTGCCCAGCTTACTGTAACGGTGAAGGAGCG